ACACACAAGAAAAGTGACACACACACACATACAAGCAAACGCGCATACACACGCACACACGCACACACGCACACACACACTAATGTCACTTAACATTTACTTTCTAAGGGCTAGTTACATATGTATACTTGTATATATACCTGTACGGAGCATCATCACTCTATGGATCATGTTTCTACAATGTCTTCACCCCCAGAACCACGGCGCTGACTTGGAGTGCACCAACCCATGGATACCAGACAACGCCAACAAAATCTTCTTCTCCAGCGGCAACACCGACCCGGCCCTCTCAGTTCTCAGGAAGAACCTGTTGGTAGATCTGGGCGTGTCCCCCGTGGGTCAGGGGGCGGACACACAGACTTACCCCAAGCAGGGCTACCAGAACGCCCCCAAGTTCTGCGAGGGCACAGATAAAGCGATGGGGACATTTGCATTTGATTTCCCTAAGATGCCAGCAGGTCTGAGATCAATTAGAAAAACTAGATATACCATTTTTGAGAAACTATAACTTTACTTTACATTGATTTTTAATGAGCCAACATCACATAGAAAGTGGGAATGATTTCACTGATACTTGCAGACAATTAACTTTTCTATAATTCCACTGCAAATCTAAAGGCATTTAGGGTATAATCACATTCTTGTATTAGTAGGCATCCAGTGACCTTAAGTATTTACAAACTTTATGCAAAACGAAGCGTATCTTTTAATAATAAGCAACAATATGTGAATTCACAGGTATTTATGTTTTGACAGGGCGTTACACCTTCGTGTGGGAGTGGGAGTTTAACAAGAATTCCTTCTACACTAGCTGTTGGGAGGCAGATGTGGTGGACACCAAGAGCGAAAGGAACGCCAAATTGAGGCAAAGAGGACTTTCCACCAATGACCCAAGTGAGTGGGATCTTGATGGCCGAGTCTCAATCATAATCGCCACAAAACTCCCCACCTCACCGCTTTGGAAGCCAAGTCTTTAATAATGTTTTCTCTTTGTTGCCTTGGACATTCTAAGTTTTTCTGATATATTTTTTCCTTCATGTCACCCTGCATACATACAGTTACCTGCAGATGTAAAATGTTCTGACTTCCAGCTGTTATGTTTATATGGTTATCCCAGCAAACACTGAACGTTATTAGAACGTTACGCTACCGTTACGCTAACGTTCTGGTAACGTTCTAATCAGATTCTGTAGCTGGTTAGCTGACATAGCGACACTTTCACCCAATGGGTGATAATGTGAGTCCTACTGTAAAGGGAAATGTTTTACTAGGCAACTTGAAAATTGATGAATAATAAATAGAAATAATAGCTGTGTTATTCCTGAGGTGGTACAATAAGCATAGCTGTAAAACAAGATTTTATTTCTCTTTCTTTCTTTCTTTCTTTTTTCCCTTTTTTATCCAGGCAACCTGGCTGGAGTAAAGGTCCCTGTGTCTGGGTATGGGCAGTACAAACTCCCAACTGGAACACAGGCCCCTGTCACCCCAGGGCCAGTAGATCCCTCTAAACCAGCTGTCACCGTGGTTACTGGGAAACCCCTCCTCCCGGCAATAGATGGCGCTTGGGGGCCGTGGAAAACCTGGGGCAAGTGCTCGGCCACCTGCGGAACTGGAGTGAGCGTTTACATACGTTTCCAATCGTAGTTCTAGAATTAAGTCCAAAATACAAAACTTAAACAGTCTCAAAATATTCATCATCCTTTATTTATAATTCCCTATCATATTCTATCTTTATCTATTTTAGCGTGTTTTAATGAAAAACGTAGTTCCCACTGAACTGTAAGTTTATGTAAAGTAGTTTTATGGAACACTGAAGAACCAGCCTGGTCAAATTACATTACCAACTGACCAAGAGTGATTTATAGTCTTTCTTTTATTCTGTAGACTGAACGCCGCGTTCGTTTCTGTGACAGCCCCGCCCCACAGAACGGTGGCAGCATGTGTGTCGGCAGTGACGAGGAGACGCGGCCCTGTGACGCCGGCGTCTGTCCCCAAACTTCTCTTACAGGTGAGTTGTTGTACAGGGTGTGTGAGACGGGGGAGGGAGGGATGGAAATGCGGCCCTGTGACGCCGGGATTTGTCCCCAAACATCTCTAACAGGTGGGGTGTCTAAGGTATATTGTAGGGTGGAGGTGGGGGAGGCAACGGCACCCTAATTCATCCCTTTATGAATTCGTAATAGAAATATTTATCGGTGACATGCTTGCTATTTGCTGTTGTTTTGTCAGAAATTCTGTTTGGAAAATTTCGAAGAACGTACTTTTAGACCTGCGCTACAAATCACTGTTGCAACGTTCGTGTAGCCAGTTCAAGGCAATGCTGTGTCTTCTCCATTTGTCGGAGAAAATCGTATTACTGCCAACATTTCACACCCAATTAAAGCACACAGAAAAGGACTCAGCAGGTCGTGGTACAGCAGCTGAAGCATATATCATGATGCAAGGTGCGCTGTCAGTTATCATGCTTCTGACGAATCTTGATTTAGTGTGATAAAGAAATGCTCTCAAAAGACATAAAATGAGGGTTGAAAAGGCGTAGTGATCATACGTTTCCGTTTGAAATTTATCCCGGAAATTGGACTATAGAACAGCTGCGTGGATTCAAGTCACGTATGTCCTAGAAATTCGCTTCTCTATATATACATGTAGATATGTATTTCTTAGGAGTTCTGAAAACACGTCAATTCCTGAATCATGAAGTCCCGAAATTGCATTTTTTATGTTTGTTTAAATGTTCCAATTTTGACAGATGATTCATAAAATGGTCCACCACTAGGTGTTAGGTTTATTTAAAATATTAGTCAAAACTACGGTATTTTCCTGACAGTACCTTAGTATAATCAATCAAGGCGGATGTCATTAGGCAATGCGTGCTTAATTAGTACATCTTGTCACCGGATGATGCCTAGATATTGAAGTCAAAACTTCACAGAGGGCACGGTACGGTAATTCTGAAGAACAGAACAGGCAACTCACTGACACGGCCATTCATTCAGACATTTGTGACACGGAACAACAGGAAAGATTAATCAGGATTCATGTCTTTTTAATTTGGCGTGTCAATGTCTTCCCGTAATTCCCCAAATAGTCTTTTAGAAGACATAGCCGACCTGAACGAGGAGATAGTTATGTCCGTTCTTAAGTTCACTTTTGATGCATGGACAAACACAGAGCGTATTATCCTAAAAGATGGGTTTAGTAGGATTCCCCGATTTTAGCTTCTGGACTCACTATTCTGATTTTGTTCCCCCCAACAAAAAGTTTAGGTAATTGAAAATTCCATATACAGAAGACGATTTATTTCTCAGTACAAGCCAATTATAGCCGAGTAGTTTGGTAAGAACTGGCTTCGCGTGTCGCTCACGCCATTTTACATTAAATTACTTAGGAACGCTGCAGACTGTGTGGGAGAGGCAGGGACTAATCTCCTTAAACCAGACCCTGATTTCATGTTTGATTTTCCTATAAATCCGTTCACCAACTTGTGAAAAATATGTATGCTGTATGCCAAGATCTCAAAAGGGGTTTAGTAGTGAGAAAACTGTAAGACGTCAAATGATATAATCCCCCGTGACAATTGATAATCATAGCGTAAATGTTAGGTCTCTTATTATTATTATTATTATTATTATTATTATTATTATTATTTAGAAGTCAAGGTAGAGGTTTATTTATATAAAATATACAATATCGGGAATAAATCGCCCTGGAAAAGTGTCGTTATTAAAAAACTGTAAAGCTGCCTGGTTCACTTGCCTGGTTCACTTATATTTCAATTACATGGTGACGTAGAGAACAGTCGGCAATGATGTAACATCTGAGATAAGTTAATTTATGTTGCAGATTTGCAGGTAAATATTCCCTCTAGCTGGGACACTGGTACCAATGGCCTCATCATGCTACCAAACCCCAAACCGACTGGAAACTGGAAAGTGATCCTTAAACTGCCCTGTGATGTCCAGAACCTTAACGTACGTATTCTGCAGCGCGTGCCTGTGTGCGTGCGTATTTGTGTGCATGGGCGCGTTCATTTTCGATCGGAAGACTGAGCAACAAAGAATAAAAGAAAATAAGGCATAAAAAAGATAAAGTATATGAATTGCTTTTTATATGTTAAGTTAATCTTTTTTTTTCTTTTCTTCGTTTTTCGTTTTTCATGAAGTCATCTTAGATCAGTTTTATAACGTATTGTATATAACACTGTATATTTGTCCCCCAGGTCTGGCATGGAAATGACGTCACCACGGCCGAGCACCGTGCTAGAGGAGTGTTTGCTATTAACCAGAGCGGATGGATGCTGGACAAACCCGATATTGGCTTCACTGCCTTCTACAGCGGCACTTGTCAGATGAAGGGCATTAAGGCGTCAATTGAGTCCTAGGATGGATATTGTTATTTCCCTTTTTGTTGAAATTTACCTTCAAAATTGGTAAATTTTGTTTTTCACTACATGTATTCCTGATTTTACGTCATCATACAATGCAGAATAAATTTGAATACATCTTCTGTTTGTAATCTGCGTTTTTGATTATGGAATGTCAGTTGACGTGACAGTCACAGAAGGCGTGATGTACATTCTGAATTAAGGGAAAGGGGAATTAATGACCGTGTTGTTATTTATGAAAACGCCTCATAAATTCTAGATTAAATATGACACAGCTTGCTCTAATGTCGTTCGCCTTGCGGGTGATTTTTATCTCTTCAAAATACATTTCTGTAACCTAATGAAAATGTCATTTATTGTCATGCGAACTTAATGCAAATTTATTCAATGAATCAAGTGCTTTCCACAACAAATCTGTTTTATTTTGCTGTATCACGGTTTCTTGGTGACATGTCAGCAGGCAGGCTGGAAAACCCGCTCTGATACACGATTAATACACTGAACTGTCAGCTCAATTTGAAAACTCTTATTTGGACAAGGTTGAATCCTCGAACAATGAGATCAACAAGTAAGGTGATATAGGATCGCTGCATGATTTGCCACTGGCGTCCATGTTTATTGGAGAGCAAACTGACCACGCCCGCAATCATGACCAGGAGGAAACTTCCGGTCAATAAGGCACCACTCTGGACTCAAGGAAGAAAGACCGTACCTATCACACTAAAATGAATGTGTAGATCAAAAAACACATTTTGTGTGTCAAATATGAACTGAAATAAACCTTCACATCCTCCGAGGGTGGCAATTGGAAAGGTTGCATTATAGATAATTGAACAGCAAGGCAGTAATTACATTTTCTATGGTTCTTTCTTCTTCACGGGACGTTACCTGTCGAAGAATAATTTTCTAGGAATTAATTATAAACGGCTGCGTGGTTAAATCAATGTATAGTTAAAGATTATCCTGTGGCTTTGAGACTGTAATTGGTTCAGCTGTTAAAAATCTTGCTTGTTAAACATCTCGACCCTCCAACTTCCCCAGGGACGCCGTTTTAAGCCACACGGTTTACTCATATTTTACAGGGCTCTCTATTATCAGAGGTCATTGTTATTGCCTTAATACCTGTCTTTTAGATCAAATTGAATAAAAAAATGACATGTAATTCAAATTGATGGGAATGATGAGATAACTGAAATCTCGCCTTGACGGCAAGAAATCATGTTGTGCAAACATATAGTCGCACTTTATAAAACATTTGTGAACATGAAATGAAAAAGGTTTCCAGATTATGATTGAAAGACAAGCTTTTTTTGGGCATCGTTTTCTATTCATGAAATTTGATTCAAAACTATTAAGCGTTGAATGATGGGTCAATATAATGTTTAAAGATAGAAAAGCACGTACGGCCGAGAGCACATGTGAGTGCAAGAGGCCCCGGTAGTCGAATTAAGTGATCAGAATAACCCATCGTTTACCGTGAGTGGAATACACAAAATGTACACTTGCTTCATCTGTTGCCTATTTGTTTTCCTATGAACCGTTAACAAAGAAAAGTAAGTATGAATGTCAGTTATAGATACTTATCAATCAACATCGATTTTTTTCACCCAGTGGACTGCTTAATGGCCAACTTTTTTCCAGCATAGCAAAATAAATGTCAAAGAAAAACGTACCAAATGAACGGTCTTCAAAAATAATGTTTTTATTTGGTGTCTTGGAATTTTCTTCTTCCAAGAAAGTGTCTTTTGATTTACAAGTGCCATACTACATAATTTACAATATAACACAGTCGTGTCGATATTCAACGTAAATTATTAACGACTACCTTTACAGTATAGGCGTTTTTGTATTGATACAATTGAGAAGTAGAGAGAAAGTGATTACACAGTAATATTACACCGCTTCATGTGGTGCTAATTGTAACTAATGCTGCGACAAAAGGTTTTTTTGTATTCCAACTTAAAGATAATGCTGGAATTCATTCTTTTCCAGTTTCAGTCCCTAGGAATTTTGAAGTTAACGCGAAAGATCTAGAATTGCAAAGAGATTTATCATCACGACATAATACTTTATAGGATTAGCAATGGCGTCGTGCGGTGGATTCGTCTAATAAAAATCTTTTCGTTTTCTTTCATCTTAAAAATGAAGATAACAAGATTTTCATCGTCGGAAGAGGGAAATCGTGTTTCATTCTATAGGCAATGAATACGTCTATTGTCCACAAACGCCGGTCACTTTGTAAACCAAAAGGGTTTAGTCGATAATAAACGTAATTGGTTACATGACAGTGATTTTCTATATGCCAAATATGACCCAAGCGGCATTGCGTAAAATGTAATAAACAATTCGATATCAAAGCAAAATTTGTTTTGTACCAATTTCTAGCCAATTCTCCAGAAACTTCGAATCTGTAAGTCATGATCGGTGTCGGCTGGGAAACTCCTGCCAACTCTCCAGAATGTGTTCAGACGCTTGGTCGGGTCCTCATCACCGTATGGGTCACGTTTGCCAATACGCCAGAAAGTCCGTTTGTCATTTGATCTGCCGACACGCCAAAAAGTGTTTGGCCTCTTTCCTATCCGCCAAAATGTACTGCGCTTATCATCGTCGTCACCCACGACGAGGCCGTCTCTCCAATCGTCACTGTCATCAAAGAAACCCGGTGAAATGGGGCTTACTGAGCGACCGATGCGCCAAAAAGGTGTATCACGTTTCTGTATATGGTGGCCGTTTTTCTTACCTATTCGCCAGAAAGCGCTTTTCTTATCTTCATCGTCAGTATGAGAGTTAGCCTCGTTGCGTCCGATTCTCCAAAACGCACTCTTTTTCATGTCTTTGTCGTCATTTCGTTTTCCAATTCTCCAAAAGGCACTTCTTTTATCGTCGTCGTCGTGTTCACTACCATAGTCCTCTTTTTTCCCAATTCTCCAAAACGCACTTTTCTTGCCGATTCTCCAAAATGCGCCCCTCTTGTCGAACGGATCAGATCTGCCTATTCTCCAGAAGGCGCTCTTCTTCTGCGGGGCGTCCTCTTGGTCCGCTCGACCGATTCTCCAGAAAGCGCTTTTCTTGGATTCGTCATTATCATTGTCCGATCGACCAATTCTCCAAAAGGCACTTTTCTTATTTGGGTCTCTTCCTATTCTCCAGAAAGCCTTTTTCCTCTCATTGTCACTATCGGTCATGTCCTCGCCACCTCGACCAATTCTCCAAAATGCACTTTTCTTATCGTCTCCACGCCCTATCCTCCAAAACGCGCTTCTTTTTTCGTCGTCATCGTCGTTCTCAGTTGAATTTGAGTTAGAAACACAAATCTTCAAACACTCAATTCTATCAAAGTCATCAGAACATTTCTTAGAACATTCTTCGTTAGTATCTGTGTCGGCGGCTAAAGTCAGTTGTTGAGCAAACAGCAGTACGAAGAAGATGATCGAAAAGAGCACCTCTCGTTGAGCCGGCATGTTCAGCTTGGCACGCGTGTTCCTGAAGTAATAGTCAATGAAAAAACACATTAATCACTACAATTCCCCCTTGTGAGATCATGGGTAATAAGGCAAAAAGATAGCCACTAACGTCGAACCAACTTGTCGAGGTTAATAAGTGTCAGTGATGATCGCCCGATTCAATCTGGAAGCTAGTGTTCATACAATAAAAAGTAATTCACCGTTTGATAATCTACGGAGCCTCTGTCGGCTTCTTGAACAACACCCCTTCCCAAGTCACCTCGCTCCCTGGCCTGGTAAAAACAAGCTACTTGGGTTCAATACATCCACTGATTTATTTCTCAGTGAAACATACTGAACATCTCTCAGCTTTTATACAAGTCACGCAAACCAGAACACCTACTTGTATAATTAATGATGGCCGTAGCGAACCGCACCACTATACCTGTAGGCATGGGCATTATATTACACATAAAGAAACAAGGAAGCGTTGAAACGATTTAAGAACTCCGCTAATCTAAAATTCCAATAAAACAACAGAAAAGCTTGTCTATTACGTGCACGTGGGCACAAACCTGAGCACACGTCACAGATGCAATTATCTGACGGCCAATGAACTTTTTGGCACTTGTAACTGACGATAATTTGACTGCGTTTACATAATATGTTTTTAATGCGCTTGCGTTTCTGAAAGAACTAGAATGGCGCCACGTTTTCACGTTGGGTGTGGCGGTTTATACATATATCTGTGGGATTAAATAACTGAAATGATTAAGATATGAATGAATTAAAGGAATACGTGTCGCGCATAAAAACATAAGAAAAAGAACTTCATATGGTCATTTCGACCTTTACACGGTATTTAAAGTGTAATTGAAATTTCGGATGTTCTAATTGGGTTTTACACACACTTTTTCACAATTCACCGTTACGAGCGCTAACTATTACCTTTGTGTATGTATAAATGTACTTTGAATTTTTAATCATTGGCGTTTATTGGATTCATTTTCAGGTTTCTACATTCTTAACCGAAAGTTTTCGCTATCTGCTGTGATTTTGAGACACGTATTTCGGTGTAGTTCTTTTGGATTACAGATAATCCTCCTATCTTAACATTTCATACGTGGCGTGTTAAATGCCACATAAAGCTTACCGGAATCTTTTCACGGCTTAATCATCCGTCACGCTATCGTTGCCTTCTTCAATTATAACGAATGCCACTAACTACAATTCGGGCTGGCGTGTCAGATTATCAGTCAGGTACTAAACAACAGTTTAGACTTAATTGAGAAACAAATAGCCCTACAATAATCTCATCATCATTAATAACCAATGCCCACTGTTTCAAACGAATTGTATCCCTAAAAACACAGTAACGAAACATAGAGTTGATTGGGTTTCTGAAGAAAGGTATGGAAGGATTCCCAATCCCCTGCCATGTACTGCATCCAGCATAGTTTGAACTAAAATCGCTTTAAGACAAACTATTAGAAGTAGATATTATGATTACACCTGGCTGTCATGTAGCCCCGGGGGTTAACGGCAAGAACAACTTGAGCCAACGGTGTAATTACAATCATATTTTCTTCCTTCTTCCTGGAAAATGTCCTTAAATGGTCAAGTTCTGAATAGTTTCTTACAACCAGAGACATGACCAGCTTTTAAAATTTAGATGTAAATTGAAAAATATAAACTTAACAATTCATAGCCGAAGATTCTAGATGAATGTATGTCCAAGGATGAAAATCGCTATAAAAAGCAGCATTTCCAATACCAACGCATGCAGTAATGTTCAAAATGCACCTGTTGGCACAAAACCCATCGACAAATCTAAACTTAACGAGGCTTTTGTTCAATCATTGGAGCCTCATTTAGGTATCATTGCGCCCCTAGTAAACGAAGCGATCCCTCCTTCAGCGGTGCTGCAGAGCGGGGAAAGCAATCTGGGATCATTATTCTCAATCACGTAACTATCTGATTGTTTATGTGTAACGAATGCGGGATAACGTCTAAAATTCATAAAAAATCCGACTGATATTTAATTTGTTTCGAAAGAGAAAAGAATTTCTAAAAGTACGAGAATGGAAAATAATGTCTCTAAATTTTAAAAAGAATTCTTGACTGTGTCTTGTCTACCTACCCGAAGACACCGTGTCAGATCCCTGTGCTCTCCCTAGCCTCAACCAAAGTGGTTCCTGTTCTACCTAAATATGGTGTCTTTGTGCTCTTCTGGCCCTAAATGTAGCTTGTGGATTTTTTCGTAGCTTATATACAGCTGCCCTCTTATTATAAAGCTGCTCTCCTATTCCCCAGAGCACCGTGCTACTGTTTACTCCTCTGCGGGGAGAACGCGAGCAATTACTCAAAAACGCAGCGTTTCTTTGACGCGAAGGGTTTATATTAGCAAGTCTTCATTTTTTTTCCTGCTATCTGAGGAGACGCGCATGAAGTCACTACAAGTGGCTGAGCTATTATTATTACAAATCATTTGGTCACATCAGCTTATTGACGCGGGTAGAGTATATGTACATGAGATTTCAAACCACTTCTTTTATTTATAAGACATGTATGGGCTTGTGTACGCATATGGATGGAGACATTATATACTTTTATAATGCTGTACATCGTTAATATATCTCATTTTAGTTGCATGCATTTCTAATTAATTGCATGTCAATTCCAAAAAGCTTATTTGAAAATTTTAAATCTAGAAGTCCAGGAAGAAGATTTATTTGAAATTATTGTGTTTCCCTGGCAGTAAAAAATAATCCTTTTATTATGCTTATCAATTTATATCAAATCGGCATTCTAACCGGTTGCAAGCGGTGCGTTTTTCCTGATTATCTTAAACAATAAATTGACGTGTTCTAATATAATAATTCAATTGACCCCTGAGTTATTCCTCCACGATTACCTGTATATGTTCATGTTTGCTTTATATAAACAGGTCTACGTTTTCCTAAACACAAACAAATATGTGTATACCTGCTTCCAGATAAAAAGTGTCATCCTGACAGCGATGTAACCGACCATTATAACAATTGTTACAACACTGCATTTATCCACATGGTAGGATGGGTTATTTGTTATTTCACAAAAAGAGTGAAACGGTAAAACATACATAAGCGCCTGGTTGTGGCTAACCTTGAGTTGGTTTGTTTAAAATGCAATAACAAAACAATTTACCTTACTTGTCAACACGAAATACATATAGCAAAAATACAGAATCAATACACGGTATTAGGAGCGCTGCTTTTCACGTTTTGATACTGTTTTATGCCTCGTAAAATATATATATTTAGAGCGTAAGCAAATGTGCTTCTTTCAATACTTCTTTACCTGCAGATTGAGTTGAGAGGCGTGTTTACTAAAAATCATATATAGTGGATATGTACTAAGAGCACTGAATTGATCCTTTTCGCGAACATAACAAAGCAGATCAAAGTCGCTATGTTGTGGCAGTTTTATTATTGGTTTTCAACCGTTTTAACACTTATCATTATGTCCACAATAATATATGTTTTATACCTATCTGTGTGTTCCTTATTCTTCTACTGTAATCAATCAAATCTTAACCTCCAAAACCACTGCTGCTGACACAAACTCGGCGTAAAAAAGTCACAAACTCATTAATCATCTAACATACTCATTGTTCATCTAAAAAAGTCGCAAACCCATTATTCACATTATACACAAATAAAATACATTCACTGCTTTCAAAATCTTGCAGGTGAAACGTATCGGTAGAAATTGTCTGAAGAACCCCTGAAGTATGACTCGACATTGTAGGACTCTTTTAGGCTTTAAGAACAGAGCTTTCTTCATCACTGCTCAAAAGAAACAGTTTTTACCTTTCATCATTTGCCTATATATATATAATTAACGTACGAATCTGGTAAACATACGGTTGAAAATATCATATTAGAGAATGTTTGCAAATATACACTTTACACGGGAATGAAGGTTTATAGCAAAAAGGGGAAACGTATTCTTAATCAAAGTTGACCAGAGCCTTCTCATTGCCATTACTTTTCTTCTCCGCCGAATGTATTATCAGAATTCCCAGCGAAAATGATCTGATGTATATATGTGCTGATCTAATTGTGGCGACTCTTTGGAGAAAAACAAGATTTAAGCAAAATACACCATGTCTTTGCCGTCGTGATCAATAGCATTATCTGAGATAATTTAATGCCATGTCTACACGGTGGGTCTTAAATTTTTTTCTTGCAGTATGAAAGTCTACAAGGAAGGCGCATTTCGCGTACGTGATAGGATTATGAACGTCTACAATATGAACCATAAAACTTTACTCCAACATCAAATTTCTACGCCAAATATGTAAGGCATTCACCCAACGAAAAGAAAATAAATTATATGCTTCATGTAAAGTTCACGACATTCGGTAATGCAATTATTGGCTTGAAGTTGATCAGAATCAACAAATCAGTTTAATCTCAAGTAGAATTAGCCTACAGTACATGTCTTGCACTGTTCTATTCACCCTGACGCCAGACGCGAGCCAGTCACGGCCATTGGACAGGGTGATACGTGTGAATTTAACAAAGTTACAAAAACTACCATCGTACAGATGTTCTCAAATGAGGCAAATAGATTCTTTTTCAACTAATTTTCTAGGCTATTATTCTTTATATTAGCGTTTATGTTTAATCAGAAATGGGGGTTTCCTGATACAAAGCCTGTGTTATTAATTAGATGGATTTACTTTCCTGGGGGTAATGATAATCATTGCTTGCAATAATTCTATTAGACAAGGATCTGGATTTGTATTGAATATAACATTATCCAATTTGGCTTCGTGCTCCTCTCAAAACATCTTCTCATTAGATTTGATCACACACTTTGGTCAATGGAACATAACAAATAGACTCTGGGGGGATATTGTCTTAACTTATTTGATAAAGTTTATTTGAAATCTGAAGCCTACATGCTCTGTACAATAAAGCGCTAAGACAAAATTGCAAGAAGTTGTTTTTTATCAAAGTATTTGTAATTGAAGAAAATCAGTTATTTAGCACGTAGAACTTCTTGCAGGACTTCTTCTGTATTTAGTTAGCTAGAATAGGGAGATGTTCAGAAGAGAATTCAAATAACTCTAATTAGAAGCAGACATTTATGCAAGGGCACATTGCCATTAGAAAAGGGAAATCTTTTGTTCACTTCTGATAAGCTACTTATCAATAACTTTTTCAGGTTCCTTCTCGTCGCCTCATTATCCTAATTGCCACGCGTTCCACAAAGAGCCGTAGGAATATTCTGTAGAGGTGTCCAACTACATTACTACGCCAGCGTTCTGATTGGGAAACAAATCTGTGCGAACTAAATTAATCTTCAAGCAAACGCCACGGGCTCCGTGAGCACGCTATGGTATGGAATATTTCCTGACATTTTGTACGTCAATACATAGACATGGTAAGAAGTAAAGGTTTTAGTATCTCACGGCGTCCCTGTCATCACTTTAATAGCACAGTCGGGACCACAGAGGAAAAATCTACTCATTTGCCCAAAAACGCGGGTGGGATTATAAGAAGGTGATTGGCTTTATTAATGAATAGTTTCCTATGGATGCTTTCCTTTTTTGCCCAGAAGAAGGCGATGGTAAATTGAGTTCTATCCCTTATATACACCTGTTTTGTAAAAACAGAAAAAAATTACTTAAGAGTCAAACAGGAAAGTCGTAGTCAGCTATCCATAGCTTGTGCAGTTGCCACCTTCATTAATAATCAAATAATTACTTGAAAAGAAAATAGAATTTTTCTTCACAAACAACACTGTGATCGACCAGTTGGAAGGGGAAAACCTGCAAGTAAATACTTTCTGTTGAAAAAGAAAAAGAACCTTCACATCTATCCCATGCTGTTAGCATCGTTTGAAATTGGTGTAGATATTAACGTGAGAAGATAAAACGTTATGAAGATGTATTGACCAGCATATAGAGCACATCAAAAGTACAAAAGATTGATGTTATTACTAAGAGTTACAGTAGTATTCTAACAAACTACAAACGGAGGTTTTAGGGCTTACTAAGGCTTGTAAATACGCTCAGCCTCTTTTGGATTACATGATAGTTTTTTTTTTTTAATTTCGTCCTGTGCAAATTTAATTCAGAACGGAAATAAAAACATTCAGACAACACCTTACATACGTATGTATTATTAGCTATCGACAGAGACAAAAGCCTGGCCATAAAAGAAGTATACTGATTATTCTGAAATGCCACATCATTCCCAAAAATGGCCGATGCTCGATCAAGACACGCACTATTAATATAAATATAATTCAAACCATTCCTACAAACTACTGCCAAAACTGCAAATGACCAATGGGTCTGAACAAAAACTACATACAAAATGTTAAAAAATTTGACAAAGAATTTAAGAAACTATCTGTGATATCATAAATAACAAAGTACAAAATATGGAACACATATAATTCCATCGATGGTTCGTTTGAAATCCGAGCATGCTGTTTAAATCCTATTGGAATTATTTCTGCGAGTATGTTTCACTGCGATACGATAGCACATTTGTCTTTGTTACGTTGGATTAAGAATTTGCTCGCTGACATTAACACGATATACACAAGAGGACTTTTCTGAGGAGATATCTTAAAGAAGGCTGTATGATGAATGAAGTCAACGTGCTTCTACAGTCATTAGAAACGGATTAAGAGGGACGTTGGTAGATACGAAATCCACTGTGTTACCCATTACTGCAGGTCAACACAGAGCAAGAACGTTTACAACGACATCGTTTAGAACATTAAGGAGGACCGAGAACCAGATAAGAGTTTAAAGAATGTTTTCCGTCGCTCTAACAATCTCCCTCAAGAACTGCTCTGTTTTTGAGATAACAGCGTCATTTAGGCATTCCCTACAGTTTTCAAAGACACACGCGGCAATATACAAACAGATAACGGGCACTGGGTGCTTGTATCATTTATCATATAATATCAGAATGTAGAATAGCAGTCGCAATGGGCCCATTACCACCAATCTGAGCTGAGAAAGAATCAATCCATGTCATGATCATTCTCCATTTTTCGCATTTAACCATCCTAATCGCCGTCGTTAAGACGATATTATCTATTTCGTTTTGTTTCTATCTTCCTATAGTGAGTAAGCTGTTTGATCTCGCCTTGATAAGACAACCCTGCCCCCTGGGGTGAGTGACACGCGCACGTCACACGTGACAAACCTACTCATTGCGTCACTAGGAAAGAGAACGGCGGAGGCGGCTAGTGATGGCTTATAAGTCTATACAAACTGCACAGCGAGAAATGATCAGTTTTCAAGGAGCGATCAATTTGTTGATCTTACATGTACGCTATCAAAGGTCGGCTACCGAGGAAGGCCACCAGAATGGGTGTCATACGGCAGCATTGTGCGAGGAACTGGACATGTCCTCAACTGACAGATCTGGTATATACTGTCACGGAATTATTCATATCCATGATCAAAGTAAATTACATAAATGTCTGCATACAACAGCTCATTGTTTTTTTCTTTTCATTAATTTTCCCTTTATTTAAGTTGGGAAAAGAGTAGATGTTTATTAACATAAATTGAACAAACTCATGGGAATCGGCTTGGCCCTGAAACAGAAGCTTTCTCGTCCACAGCTCTCTACTTCCTTATGGGCTGTTGTTACTATTTCATTTATATTTTAGAATGATAATTTTAAGGACAAATCCCGGTTTAGTGACAGGTAAACGGTTTAGCCTAATGTCTGATTCATGTTGTCCCTATACATCCCGTCTGCCGTGTTTTTCTGCCCCTGCAGTCACGCTCTGCACGCTCAAGGTCTTTAAGTAACCAATACACGTGTATAATTTCAAGAAATAATTCTCTTGTTGAACACTGAAGTATTAAAACAACGGATAAAATATTGAAAATGACTAAAAATTATCCTTGCATTCGTTTTTAGGCGTCCCAAAAAGTCACGTTTCCTTTTTAACTACACCGCACAACTATCGGCATGTTTCACACTTTTACCGCAACACATGAGAATCAGGGGATTCAAAGACGTCAGATAAACAAAGATAATATGTTATTGTCACGTTTAAATAGCTGTGAAACAGAAACGATCCACTAACAGCTCAAATAATTGCTTGAATTACTAAACAAATTTTTTCACCTACATATTTCTTATGATTTCGAGAAAGTCACATAATCACTAGAACAAAACGTGATGGGAGGTGGCTTAAATCTATCAAATAAAACAATTGAAACACGACAAATGACGTGCTTTTAAGCTTTAAGAGAAAGCTTTAAACGAGAATAATCCAGAATGATTGCAGGATATGACTTGTTGCTTTGTTTTTGTCAGCCAATAAACAAGTGACCATAAAACCGAAAAGAAAGCGTGAAAATAAATTTTAAACGGATTGTGCAAACCTTGGTCAATTTTCTGTCACAATTGCAGCTGCTTAACGTTTTTGGCTGAGACGCTATAAACCATTAAACCTCTTGTCCATGAAGTCGCATTACAGACTTTGTGGTTAATGTCTATAAATATTATACTAAAATGATGCCAGGGGACAACAGTAAGGACCGATATCTGGCCAGATAAATTATAACGGTTGATTTCTAAATTTTTTGCTACTTTGCTAAAGATGACAATAAACACGGGATACCCGGCCATATACGGTGTGACTTATAATTGTACTGTCTTTCCTAATGTATTTTCATAAGTTTTAATCACCTTTTATTGTATTCATACAGGTGTATTGATTACTTTTAATATTCGTTTTAAAACCAGTTTTCTTTAAAACATACATCTTTTTCAATGATGAACTATACATGTATGTGTACATACCAACGCTTGGCACTTGTCGATATCTTGGTGGCAGAGAGCAAATTTTCAGAGCTCAAATGATGTCTTGGGGAGTCGTAACTGCACTGAAGACGATGGTGCCGGGCGGCTTTCAATTCTCCTCTGTTTTTGCGTTGTTCAATCTAAAAAGTAAACAGTATATTAAAACCAAAGATAAAATCAAAAATTCTCTTAAAATGCTTCAATGTGAGAGAGCTCAGAATACTTGTCTTTGTTCACCAAAGGTGATTTTCTGGAGCGGTAAAATATTCACAGAAGGAAAAGGGGAAAAGTGTTGGTAACTCTTATCGCCCCTTTTGTCTTGTTTAAGTATAAAGAAAGGGATTTGTGTACTTTGCAGTCACAGTTCCATCTTTCTTTTCATTGTCACCTAAGTCTCCACAGTGCGCGTTTCTTTTATTCCTGAGCTAATAGAATAAAAGTGCGCCGAGAAAAATTAATAAACGGGAATTTTATTAACTGAAAATGACCAACTTGTTTCTAAGGCAACTTAATTATTGAAACTGCCCTAACATTCCTTCCTGGAATTAAAAAAAAAGAACCAATAAACCAATTTCTATATGTGTACACTGAGTATGGAAACAACACAGTGCATCGCATTTCAAAGATTGACGGCAAAACACATTCGATTTGAGTCGAACCACACCAAAAGAATGCCTCGTGATTAGGAATACATAACTTGTGTTCAGGCAGCTATCGGTCAAGACGGGGCTCACCAGGTATGCTTCGGAAAAATACACATTTTGGAGTACAACCAATACAAACAACGATCATCAATAGTACCACTGGAACCCCATTTGAATTTTATTTCTTTCGTGGCAGTGGTGCAAATATTTCTAAATTCTAAATATGAAACACGTCCTTTGAGCATCAATTATCCTCTTACAGAGACTTTACAGAACCCGTAAAACATTGCCTGCCAATACTTGTTATCAAATCTTGGTAGAGCAATAGGCCACACAGAGGCAAACGCAGAAAAGGTCAATTTTTATTAAAAGGTATCTATTAAAGGTACACTATACGGGTTTGAAAATTCCCCAAAGTCATATTTTCTAGGTCTATATATCCTGCAAAGTTGCTTATGTTTCCAAATTAAAAACTATAAAACCCCTCAAATTAAAGCACCTGTGGATAGTATCTTCTGCAATGTACAAAAAGACAAGGCGTTCTTAACGACTGCTCAGTAAATTTAGAACGAAATCATCAAATCAAAAACAGAATGAAACATTCAACACAACCCAAGTGCAGGGAGAAACCTAAAAATGAAAATTTCTTTTTCCCCAGGAAAATTCATTCAGGATTGTAAATCCAGGACAGGGTACCTTTATGCAATGCTCATGTACTTCATGATGCACTTACGTGTGGAATGGTCTTTGCGTAACGCCATGACGTCAGGGGATATAAGAGAAATATCTACATTGCTTGTAATCATATTGGACTTAAAAAATATTGTCTACTGGCGGAGAAAATTGTCGTAATATAAATAAGAATTTAACAGTAAGGTATGTCACGAAATTAATTGGAGGTACTGACAATGCCTGCCAAGAAAAATGTGGTCGTACTTATATCAAACGTTGGCTTTACGTTTTTTATCTTTAAATGTATTTTTATAATTGACACAAAACATGCAAGAGAAAGCGATGGAAATATTTGTGTTAGTCGTCATACATATAACTGCAACCGCATGGTAAGTGGCTACGCTGTAAACTAATTACTGTCTCTTTTTCGTTTCCAAAAATTTTCAATTGACAAAAAGCGCCTACACGCCATTTAGACGTCGCACTGACGTCAAGTCGGTTTTAAAAGCACCGGAATTGCAACTGAATGCCAGTGATTGGGCTTTCTTTCCGAATACACACCTACTGAAGATTCTTAGGTGTGAAGGTGGCGTTTGCGCATAATTAATTAGAAGATTATCCGTTTTAATACCACGATTTAATATAAGCTGAGCCGGAACAGCGATAAATATGTCCTTTTGATATTATTATCCTTACAGCAATTCATTAACAACCTTTACTCAAAATAACATAACAAGCAATGGGTTGTTCATGCATAATACCAACGTTTAATTCAATGTTCGGAACTATTTTGGACGCCCACACGACAAACGGGACTTTATTTTTGTGCCAACATTTTGCTCCAATAGCTGTTGCGGTTTCACATATTTTGCTCAATTAATCCTGGTTGCACTCATTAACCTACTTAATTATTTTCATATTATGGCAGTTATATAGTATGAGGGATTCATGATTATCCGCCCAATTTTGTAACTTTTTATCTTATTATTTTTCGTTATTAATAAATGACAATTTTCAGTCATACAGACTTTATCTTATTTACTTTTGAGCAAAAACAGAGCTTCGTTGTGTTTCTGAACATTTGGCTACATAAAGCATAGTGCTAGTAACCATTATTACACGATTTAAGTTATACAGGTTAACTTAAAAATATTCTCTCTGTTTCATTTACATATTCACATCATATCATCATAGACGGCTCTATGACATAAACGGCTACATATCATAGACAGCTACGTAATATAGACGACTACATATTACAAACGACTATATACCATAGCCTACAAGCTAGAAGCTACAAGGAGAACCCATCTCAGCCCGTCTAGCTGTTACAAAATTCACAAACAAAATGGAGGATTTACTCCTTAATTTCACCAAATACGATACAAAACAGTGCCCCATCCCCACACAATTGCACCCTAACCCCCTCCCCCCCCCCTCCCTGCTACATACTTGGAATTTTCTCAGTTGTCGTTTACAATGCCAGTTATATTGATCTGGGAGCAGATATAGCTTCTTAATCTGGTATCTTGTTTCGTTTTGTCATGTTGGTGTAACATGTGAATATTTTCACTTTATTTGACAAGCCATAAGCAAAATAAATTAATTAATAAGTTAGTAAATGGACTGCATGATCCTTGCAATGTATTTGAGGATAAAGGGTCTTCATGTAATGGATTTAGAGTGTGTCTCTTGACATATTTGTACAGCTGTGCATGTTGATTTGCTTTGTTGCGACTTATCAAAATAATCCCATCAACTGCACCAGGCTTCTCTGTCGCAATGGCATTTTACTGTTAAGCCCCATTCAGAATAGGGGTCAAAGAAGTCCGAGTGTCAAATATGGCCGACCCACTTGAATACTTCCCCACGGGACATCTATTCAGTGTCTATAAGCGGATTCGACGGCAAGCTTTGTAGTGGCTCGGCCATATTTGACCCTCCGACCAGTAAGGCCGCATTCACATCGAGAAGAGCCGAGGCTCAACAAAGCCGAGACCTAAATTTGGCGGACGTACATGAAAGGAAAAACGCCTAATCTTTTAATAGTCTCTCCGCCTCTTACACGCCTCCCCGCGCGTCGTCCTTGCGGGGGTAAAGTCATTAAATCTCGACTCCATTTGCCCTGAAGTTACCTGATAAAAACTAAATGCTCATTGGTCTTGGGTCAGCTTATATTATCTCCGTCGATAGCCGATTCATTGCTGCTCTACGGGTCATTCATTCCTTTTTTGTCTCTGTTTTGAAAGATAATAGAACAGAATAGTTTTTTCCTTCGATCGCCTCCAGTCGCCATGCTTTCTTCACCTCGAGTTCAATTGATGAGCATGCGCACTTAATATTTCTCAGGTAGCTTCCGGGCGAATGGAGCCTAGATTTAATGACTGTACCCCCTCAAGGACGACGCATGGGGAGGCGTGTGAGAGGCGGAGAGACTATTAAAAGATAAGGCTGTTTTCCTTTCATGTACGTCCGCCATATTTAGGTCGCGGCTTTGTTGAGTCTCGGCTCTTCTCGATGTGAATGCGGCCTTTGTCCCCTATTCTGAATGGGGTCTTATATACTTTTCATCTTCACAATAACTTTTTAACCATAGTATTATCTGTTTCAATGAATATAACCAGAGCAGCTCTACTTGTCGTCAGTTCTATTGTATAATTGCATCATTCTATTGCATAAACACTATTCCACCTACGTATTCAAATTCGTGATCATATATTTGTATGGTTTACGCCTACACACACTAAATGAAAAATACAGAACGGCTCTGTCACGCTACCAGATAGAGGAACGTATGAGAAACGTATGAGGAACGTGTGCAAAATCGATTATACGCACAACGTTAAGCATATGAAATCACCTATTTTCAGCGTATGAAAATGAAAGTAAATCAAACGTAAGAGATACGTTCAATACGTTACTCGCTTGCCAGCATTGCTAGTAATGCATACGCTATGCATAAGCTAGCAAACTTAATGAGAAGCGTAGTGTAACGTACTCCTATGCGTGTTAGTTGTTAGCCTATCGTATCATTACGTTTGGTTTTACTTGAACGCTCGTATAAACATGTTAAACATGCTTGAAATTTTTATTTCCCTCCGCGTTTTCAAAGGTGCAACAATGTTTCCCTGCTTACTCGAAACTTGCAACGTAAATCTAATGAACCTCATTGCGTTTGTGTGTGTATGAGCAATTTTTCTCATACGTTAGTGCTATACGCTATGGTGGGACAGTTAAAAGCCTCGGTCACAACCGGCCGTACGGGCTCTTACGTGCTGTTTGGGTCCAAATTTTGCCCACAATCTCACGTCCCACGCAAGTCCTTCTTACGAAATTTCGAGTTCGCAGACAGCCCGTAAGCACGTACGGAGGATGTTGGACATGTCCAAAAGATTCTACGAATAGCCTGCGAACAGCGAGGCCGCAAGCGTAACGTACCCCCATCGCACGGAGCAAGAGAGACGCTCGTTGTGCAAGACGCACGTCGCAAGCAATAAGGAATAAGTGCCCTCACAACTAACGAACAAAGTCGAGAGCACACCGGGAATGCGTCGCGCGTGCGTCACCCCCACGCCTGGTGTATAAAAGGCGTGCTCACGACGCACGCTCGTGTCTTTACAATGAACGTCGACTGTGTAACGTGTACAACAATTTTCATAATTTTCAAATCATTGCTCAATTTAGTCTCTAATATGCCTCCAAAAAGCAAGAGAACGCCGTCAGCACGTCACCACAAACGTGTGAGGCAAGTGTGAAGCAAAACTGACGCTAAAGGGCACTACTTTCGCCGTGCGTTGCATTCCCTTCGTAAGTGGTGAGTGTGTGCCACGTACACAGGAAGACAAACTCAACAAATGAGTACAATTTCCACGGCCATCGCTCCTTGCAATTAGCGTCCCTGCTTGAAAGCACATCTCATGTGGCCCTCGCGACTCGCAAGGCAGACTTTCCTCTACCTCTACGACCTCCACGGCCTCCGCAACACCCCAAAATCGCAGGGGACGTACGATCCTGAAATTCGTGCGTCCGGTTGTGCCCGAGGTTTTACTTACATTGTAGTCCTGACAGGTGGACTTTTACTGGTATTCTGAAATACCTGATGCCGTTGTGGGCCCGAATAGTTACATTTCTAAACCTGCAATTTTGCCTGTGCCCAAATTTTAAGCAAAGTCCAGTTTACCCTGATTGGTCTTAACGTACCCTGTATAGTCACAACGGGGACTCGTGTGTGCAGGACCTAAAGGACCACAAAGAAAGGACATCGATTCCTCGGACTAGTATTTTAGTGTCTCACGAGTCATTTTGAGTCTGGCGTCGTTGGCCGGCGTTTTGAAACAGGATAGATTTCGTTTTCACCAAGGCTGCCCGTGCCTGCTAGACGAAGGAAGGCTGCAGAATCAGGCCTTATAAACGGATTATGCGTTTACTAGCACTACCCGCAGAGCTTTTAGCACTAACACCCATATTAACAACCAAACCCACAAAGTAACCAGCACTATAAGAGCAGATGAATGTTAGTGCTAGGCATCGCTTTGTTGGTGCTAAATAATTTTACGGCGTTTTGGTTAATTCGTGGGCTTTGTGATTAATATTATTAGTGCTAAAAGATCTGCAGGTAGTGTTAGTAAACGCCTGTTTAGAAGGCCTGAGAACATACAGTGTAGGTTAAACGTCTTTGTAGGGGTGTTGCTACCCGCGTATGTAGGCTTTCGCAGTAACCATCTAGACCTTGGTTTACCTCTGCCAAACAGGTGTTATTTTTGGTTAACGACTTCCATTATTTGTTTAATAAAGTAGAGTTATAGCGACACGGCGTAAAACAATACACGTCCGCATCATTTTCCTCTAGACTTGGTTGCTTTGGAGTTGCGTTGGAGTAAACTGATATCTACCTGACCATAGGGTACCTCCAACAAAGTTTCAGTCTCATCTCTACATCTTTCCTTATACAGATGCTCATTTCTGAGGAATTTGATGCCAACCTGCTCAGGAATGATTGAATTGAACAGTTGCGTAAGTGTCTTAAAACCGTTTCTATTTCAAGATGTAATTAACCTTCCTATGTGGGATAGACGGATGTCGGCCATTCTGAGAACCCGTGGCACATTAAACAGACAAAAGAACCAAGTTTTTCGGGAAGGACGTACGTCTGCCTTTGATGGCCCGAAAAAGGAAATTAAGCAAATTATTGAATCACCTTGGTCTCAAAGAATTCTGACGAGAATTTAATTACTACCAAAGATCAGCTGGGTTTTCTAGCGGAAAAGAAGCGTCACATTGTCATTATTTTCAGATGTACTCAAAATAGAATACATTAAGGAACTATGAAAAGAAAAACATATTTTCAACTTAGAATACACATGTTATCCTTTTCAAGGCGTTTTAAATCACGGTTGCCTTTATTTGCGTCACCCTGTATAGGTCACGGGAACACTCAAATCCAAAGAGAGACCCCATCTTGTATATAGTTATCAGGTATGCTGAAAAAGGATGTCAGTTCATGGCTCATATTTCGCTACCGCTTTTTCTCTCTTATTTCATTTTCCTGAGGTACGTCTTTGGAGACTTTCTCCTGTTGTTATAACTTCTTAATTGGACATTGTGCATTACCGAGCTTTCTCTCTTAAATATTTCAAATTTCACTCTTGACGCACTTAAAAAATCGCACTTGTAGGATTACATAAGAATGTTGAGATAAAACCTTTGTCTCCAAATAAGGCGTCTGTGCCAGATAAAATTAAAATCCATAATTGGTTTGGGAAATTACTTATTAATCAGTCTAGCTGTAACCACGCAACCTCATCCTCTACTTCATGTCTTGCCACACCGCCATTCCCAGCGTCTGTCAAGGTTCCACGTATTAGGCGGTAATCACTCCTGAATACCCTTAAAGTAGAACTTGATCGCGTGCTTCTTGTGCGTAACGTCGATGTATAAACTGGAGACAATGCGCCACAATCCCAGCTTTGAGTATGATAGTAACCTGATCACCTTGCCTTATGATTAACGGAACATACTGTCTGTATTCTCCTCCTTAGGCAGCCATTGCTCGCCTAGAAACCTGACGTCTTAAATAGGGGTGACCCAAAGAAGGAGGAACCAGACACACACAAGGGGTGCACTTAGATGTTTTTTAAGGTGTTGATTTGGATGAAATAACTGGACTTAGCACTTAGCTGGTTTTCAAAGTGTTATTTTGGCTGAAATAACTGGACTTAACACTTAGCCGGTTTTCAAAGTGTTGTTTCGGATGAAATAACTGGATAATCTCAAGAATCTATCGGTAAGTGAAATAGCATTTAACATATTTTTCTCTTACTAAAAGGCGTTGCAATTGTTTTTTTCCCTTTTTTATCAGGCACAACATCCCGATAATACATTCAAAGTGACAATAATTGAAAACAAATAACAGACAAATTCCTGGCAAACAGTAAGGAACAGAGAAGTAAGTGATATAAGAGTATACACTGTAGCACTCCTGAAAGTTAACCATTTTAGAAACAACCATTATCATCTAATAGAATCTGTATCCAACAGTAGCCTAGGATATGTTTCAATATAAAAAAACACAAGGTCCAAATGGAAAACTGATATTTCAACACTTATCCAATTCAACATTTTATTCATTCATAGAATATTTCTTCTTTGCAGTTTTTATATGACTTTATTAATTTACTGATAAATCGGATTTCTTTAAAAGCGGCTACACAACAAGCAGCCTCTGAGGCCAAGGTTTTGTTTTCAAAATTAATGCGTCGACAGTAACATGTGTGCTTTTTCCTAAGTAGATTTAAAAAGATGTAGGTCTGCTTCCAAGGGTAAACTTACATTGTATTTAAGACGCAAGTTTATAATCTGTCCACTAACCCGATGGTTATTCTAGGAAGTTATCAGTTGTCGCGGATCAAGGTATTATTAAAACAATTTTCACCTTGTTGTTTCTAATTTTGATTTTAAGACTACTTTTTTATTTTCCAATTTGTAAAAATTATCAAATGAGTTCAGAGATAGTGCTTCTCAGTTGAAGATTTCTTTCTCCTCGCCTTGTTCTCCTGAAAGTTTCACCAGTCTTGTCAATCAAAATGTTTTGCAGCGTTACAGTATATAACAGGATATTGAGTGGAAACCGCCCGACTCCCGAGAAAGTTTATTTTGGGCTTTGTGTTTCAAATCAGGGCAGTTGGTAGTACTTCTGTTGTACCTCCCCTTCGTTTTGGAGAGAAGATAAATCCGCCATGTTAATTTGAAAATGGGGAGAGGGGGATGTCACATCAAGGTACAGGCATCGTGCAGCAAAGGGAAGCTTCCTTCTTGTGTCTTTCTTATTTTATTTATATTTAACTAAAAAGGTACTAAAATATTCTAATACATTCTTAAGGATATTGTTGGCCTTGGCCAAAAACTCCCCATTTACTGCCTTACATATATTCTTCTGGATAGCCGATAAATCTTCAGTGTTCAGTGACTAAATTAATTAACATTTACACACGTCACCTTACGGATGACGTCATGTGGAAAAATTGAAACAGTTTCTCAAATTTCTCCTTTACCTGAGCACTCACGAACACCGTTTAACGCCAATTTAAGGACACCATTTAGCACTCCAAATCCCTGCCAGCGATTTTTCTTAAATGTCTTAGGTCAGATTTTATGGTTTATAAAGCAAAATTATGCCTTTGTTTAATGAAAATCTGCAATTTGGGGCTCATAACTCCACCACAAAAACATTTAAACCAAAATGCACTCGTGGTCAAGTATGCCAGTTTTCATGATACAATCTTGTTCAAGGATACCGATTGCCATCTCACCTCAAAATAGAAAGGAGTAAATTCGACGATTAAACCCTTAAGTTGCTTATGCTTATACATTGCAACGAGAAATATAAACGCCGATATTTATATTTTCGAGAGGATTTTTAGCAATTTAAATCAGCACAAAGATGGATGCTTTTTTAAATAATTTTCGGTATGTCGATGATAATATAGGGTAACAACATCCTTAATTTAGAGACTACATTACCAATTTCTTAGTTTCTCGTTATTTAGCCTTCATGTAAGTTACGAGACAACGAAAATCCCTTGATTATTCTTTCCTGTAAGTTCTATATTTTATGCTGGATTAATGCAGAAATATGTTCTTGAGTATTATCCAATGGTTTGTAATAAATCAGAAAGAAGACAATTAAGGACTGCTTACACAACCTTCCTGTTGCCAAGGAAATACATGTACAACTAAAGTTTTTATTATTTAACAAGTAGAGCATTACTGATTGATAATTAGTTTCATTACTATGTAGTTCGGCGTCTAATTGTGCTAATACAAAACCGTGAGGGCGTGTTTTATTAAAATAAACATGACGAAGGAAAAACGATATTTTAAAAACACGTCTTTTTTTCCAATCATTTCATCTTTCATCTGTGGTTATTGGGCGAAGGACGGTGTTGAGGAAGACCTACGGCTATAAGTAATTGATTCCTCTTCCTGACGTACTCCAGACGGTGGTACGGCTACAGTTACCTTGGGTTAAGTCTGCGCTTAAGGCCCTCTTTAGAAAAACCAATCTTTTTTGATAGGCAATGAACGATATAATATATGTTTAGAAGTATGCCCGAAAGGAAATAATGGGAGATTAGGAAACAGATATGTGATTTACTTTAACAATATGGTGGAGTGCTACTTCGGTAATGGCATTGGATTCCTCTTTGTCTTGAATTGCTTATATGTTGCTTATTGGAATTCCTAAAAAAGTACCAGACATTTCTTTTCTTTGAATTGTGGATCTCTTACTATAAGAGCGTGTTTTGCAGTTTCAGGACCAGTGAGAGAAATGGCAAAATCATTTCATGTTAGGTGTGTGAGCTGGTGGACAGCGCTGGCCCTGTTGTCCCTTCAGTTTATGGAATGCCACATGTCGGCGTGTCACCAACTATGTAGCAAATTTACCGAAAACAACGCTCAGCTGGAAGAATGCCTCACCAGCGCATGTCCGCTGGTGTATCGGAACAGACTGAACCGATTTGGAAAGCGTTTTCAGGAGGCGTTCTTAAAGGGCAGCTCATTTGGAGGGGACGCGGACCAGACGATCGTCCACAAAGAAGAGAACCAAATCATCACATCCCTGGACAATGGGAACATTTTGCCGTGGCTCAGTCCCTACGCTCGACTAAGACGACACATGATGTTTCCTAGGAAACAAAACATAAGGTGTGTGATCCTGATTAATGAGAGAAAAAAATTTAACGAGCCGTGGTTCGATATATTTCCAATGTAGATATCAACAATTGTAGGGGAGACCTGGGCTAGTTGGACCCCGGGGTAAGTTGGACCCCCATCAATTTATAGCAAACTAACTATGGTGTAAAAGAATTGATCACATCATTTTGTAAAGTGACCGTATCCAATAGTGCTAAGAAAGCGTCGGCAGTGAGTCCAAATGAAATAATTTAGCATCTTAAAGTAACTTAATTAAAGAGGCTTGATGGGGGGGGGCAGCTTACCCCGGGGTCCAACTAGCCCCGGTCTCCCCTATTAGAAGCTTATTTTTTTATATACTGTTTATTGTTACGTTTGGGATATTTTCAAAATAGATTTTCAACAATGGTCATTTAAGAGTTTATTCTGAGGTTGGCAGAGACTAGTTTCTCAGAACAGTTTGATAATGGAATGTGCACGATAAAGGTGTAGTAGCCGACTTAATTCGATAAACCATTTGTCTAAAACAGTCACCATTTCTTTCTTGTAGTTTTATTTCATGAGACTAGTTCTGATTCATCTTAGATCAGATTGGACTAAATTTTGACCTAAATGGCCACACCATCTTTCCGTCTTAAAGGTACATTTGAATCTAGCGTCGGTGGAGCGTGGATTCCCAGTAACGCATATTAACCACTTCTACTAGTATTCTGTATCAGTTAAACAGTATTCTGCATCATTGACAGTTATTATTAAAGTGTTAGATAGGAGAGTGGTGGCATCGAGTGTTAATTACTTTTTTCACCAATAAATTAGTAAGGACGCATGTAGCGTTCAAGTGCACCCGGCGAGTAAAAGGTTATTTTGTCACTAGATACGGACACAATTAATTGATTAATTAATTATCTGAAAAATTAACCGCAACGGTGAGTTTAATCGGGTATCAAGTAAGGTAACCAGGGCTATGTAGACGCTGGCAGATAAGGCACAGGGGTGGATTGAGGCCGTCTTATGGGTCTTCCGGAAGACGGTCAGATTTTGAAGTTTACATTGATGGGCATCTAATTTTTCTGTCGGAAGACAAAAATAGAGGATGGATCAACAAAGATAATTTGGAAGATTGTCAGAAAATATCTCTGGATCCGCACCCGAAGTCCTTGTTTAAGCAGAAGTCGGGCTCGTTCTGGTTTGCATAGCAATGCGGTTAATTATTTGTTGTCTCGTTTCTCTTTAATATTTCTACATGGACGATACAAGGCCAAGCAGCACGCAAGCCACGGCAGCTTTCTAAAATGCCGGAAAAAGTGTTTTAATATATGCTGCATAAACTTAAAAGTGTAACCGTTTATTTTCAGCAAACCCCAAAATGAAGAACGTTAGATGAGAACGTACCAGACAGCTATATAAGTAACGCTACTACCACACTACTGTTACAACTGCTATTATCGTTTCTACTACCACTGCTACCAACCACCATTGCCCAGGAACTCACCACAACTTGAGACTGAACGCAAAGTATGCCCCAAGTCTCATGTTTCAGGGGTCCTTGGAGTCACTGCTACCCCCAGTAGACTTACGGCGTCCGCCTTGGGCACGTTTGGAACCGTTGGCTGTTGCTACTTTGTCACTTGATACTTATTACTTATAGACAACGAGAATTATTCATGTTTAGAATATTATATCGCGAGAACGGAGTCAAAAGAGAAGGCAAGTTGTCTGTATGACTTAATGCAGACGGTTTGTGTACATTTCTAGCTTTTTATGCAGTCAAATATACTTTTTTTGTGGCGGATTAATTGGTAATAATGTTAATTTAGCCAAAACGTTATTTCTGGGGCAAAAATGAATGATAATGTGGGACTTAATGAACAGAAACTTGTATATTGTTTCCTCCTAACTGCAATGTATGTATGTATATATATATAATTGGCGCATTGCTCTGACGTTCACTCATAGAAATGTTTAAGATATAAAATGATGCAAAACGTTCACTTAATATTTTTCTGATGTTGTAAAATACTATACATCTGCCGCCTTAATGTTCTTGTAAACACAAATTCACAGTGTAAGTAACGTCAGATGTGTCGTATCAGTACAGTTATAACATCACATAGTTTTAAGCCGATGATTTGTTTGTATCAAAGACAACGGCTTGATTCCACTCAGTCAAAATATTGAAGGTTTGCAATGCTTCGGATAATATCGCACAAACCTGTGTCTTTAGTGACATAAGCTACTCGTTGACGCGTGTGATATTTCACACGCTGTTGGGAATCAATTATCAACCAGTGCAATGGGAGGCTTGGTATTTGACTTGGCTTTGAAAATGTAAAGACTTCAATATTTGTCCATTTCATCAGTATATGTAAGTCACCTTGACTTCCCGTGGATAAGTTAGTGGATTAATACAAACTTAGTTTAGTCTCCCGCTACGATCGGTTTGTAGCAGAGCAGATGTTGACTTTAAAATTCTGGCGGTAGATTTTCAGAAAGACAACCAAATTTAAAGGGCAAATTACGTTTTTACACGTCGCTGCGTTCTGTTTTATATTAAATGTCTCGCTTGGTTTAAAGTCCAAACATGTTTGACACACGTATTGCCATTTCTTGGGGGAGGGGTTCGGAATGTAACATTAAACGAACATTTAAGTTCATTAAGATATTTCAATAGTTACATTGTGTTACGTTTTCAGTTATTCAGCTTTATGGCAACCGGAAAAATAGTAATATACCGAATATAAGATATTGATAACTAAAATATTAACAGTTATAAATTAACGAAATATAACTTTATGTTCCTCTTAGTCTAACGTTTATAACACCTCTTGTATTTGTGGAGTTCCGTACTAAAATGAGGGTCCAGCGCCAGAGGAAAACATTTCGTGACGTCACATGTAATCTCCCAGAAAAGCTGATAATAAATAGGTTTTTATCCATTTACTTGCCGACTGACTGCCTTCTTTTTTATCATACTACCTCGACCTCGACCAAGATACGTCTTCCCAAACGACTAAACTGCTACCATTTTATTCGATCAGCTTATTATTTATTGGCCCAAGTTTTTTTTTTTAATTCTGACGCAATTTTACGAAAACCGCTGACTCCGAATTGCACATTTGGACTCTCATTTTTCTACTGAGCTCCGCATACATCTGGCTATTCTAATACAATGTAGCTGGTAAGGCTTAATTTTTAACTGCTAGAGACCGTAGATAATGATACTCAATATTCTCCACCAAATACTGGTAGCAGCAAGATATAAATTGAATTGAGTTCAGATAAATCCATATTTTTATGTTAAAAGTGGGAAGCTAGTGTTTTTGTTTTCAATCACCCGATATATACATATATGTATATGATAATATGGAACTGGAGATATGAAACAATAAAACAATTTTCAGGCAACCTTAAGCAATATGAATTCATGACTTCGTCTTTCGTCCATAACCTCTGGAAAGAAGATTTTCAACCACTTTTTTTTTTGCCTGTTTGTTTGTTTGTTTGTTCGTCTCCATCCTTACTAAAAGGTTGTGGGTGGATTTCGATAGAATTTTTAGAAAAAGTCAGAATCGGGATATTTTGGTGATGACCGTTCATTAATTAATGATTAATCATCTGCACTCTCCCGATGCTTTTCTAATTCTGGTATGCTTTACTTTAAGTTTCGAATTTTTAGAAAAAGCACACCAAACTTTAAAATAAATCAGTAATCCAAGAGGTAGGATAAACGGATTCAGAGTCTCTGCCAAATGTAAAAAGGGAATTCATTATAGACTGGTCGGGGAAGCGATAGATGATGGTATTTCGTAAAGGGTTTGGAGGTTTATCCTGAAATAGTAGCTCAAAACGTGACACATGACAAAATATACTTATATCTAATATACTAATAATAAATATACTCATGTCATTTTGACATTATGTCTTTGTAACATGGCCATTATTTATGACCGTCACGCACGTAAGACCGAAACTGTTCAAATTGCCTCAATTTTGACATTATGTCTATGGAACATGGTCATTGTTTATGAGCGTCACGCACGTAAGACCGAAACTATGAAGACGTTTGTCATCAACTTTTCTAAGAATACCCAGGTACGGGTACAAATTGCCTCAATTTTGATATTATGTCTATGGAACACGGCTATTTTTTATGAGCGTCACGCACGCAAGACCGAAACTATGGAGGCCATACTTATACAAATGCCATATCATAGGGCTTGTTGACATTATTCCATTGCATAGTAATAAACAAAGCAGGTCTTTTAATCCACGGAATATACAGTACGCCTTTAACTCACCCTTTTTTTTTTTTTTTTTTTTTTTTTTTTTTTTTTTTGATCGTTATGAAATAGCAAATGTCCATATCACTTAAAAGTGCTCCAACTCGTTTCATTGCCCGATAAAAAGATGAATTTGTAACAACTGAGTACATTGTCATACCTACCTTTCTAAGGCCACACCTGGCTGCCAAATGTTCCATCATTGTCGAAATGAACCTTTCCCCATTGCAACTCTCCCTTTATGTACTGGGCTGAACTCAGCACTGTTTTAACTTAAATAAGCCGCCAATGGAGTATTAATTGGTGATCAGCTCAATGTAAAGGAATAAAACTCCTTTCGCTTTCAATGCGCTCCTCTTTGATGGGATCATGCAGGCCAATGAAAATCGTTCGCTGAAGCGTAAAACTACGTGGTCGTGTCTACATAGCGCTAAAATGGACTGACAGAAACACAGGCCGAGCACTTACTAAGAGCAAACCAACCCCAGCCATATGACGTACACTTTTGTAGTTTGCCATTTTCAACGACCCTTTTTTCCTCTTTATCAACGTGACAAAAAAGCATCCAACTCGACTTTTACACATCTACCCACATAATGCACCAGGGAATACGAGATTGTTGTTTGACTAGTAAGCTACACGCTGTTACACGTAATTAGTCAACGGAAAATTGCCACTTGGCCTTCTTTGCTATTTAGATTAGATGAATATACAAAAACTTTACGGTGTAATCTAGAAAAAAGGGCACCGTTTTATTGGAAGAGTGAGTTTTACCATTTACCACCGTGTACACAATAGTTAAACAAAATACTTACAGTGATCACTGGGATTTAACAGACAAAGTGGAACTTCTATCATAATTATCCAAACGTTTCCGTGCATTGGCCGTTCGAATATATATTTATCTAGTTATCGTTTTGTTTTACAAACTATTATAGGCTGATAAAGGAAAAAAGAAAATTAAACTTTACACAGCAAAAATTAAATGTCGTATAGATCGCGAGATAGCCTACTTCTACTTTAGTTTTTGCTCTTTAAAGACAGAGTTACATGATATAAATTCATTAATGATAACCAAAATATAAAAAACAATATTAGATAAGATATATCCCTGATTAAACAATACGAAACGTTGTTTTCACGTTTTGGAAGTTTACCACACAATATTTTTAGCAATTTCCTGGAAACTAACTGCCATGCTCTGCTGAAGTAGTTTGCAAAAAAGGTGTTACTACAACGACCACTTTCTGGAGTTCATTGTCGAATTGCCTGTAACAAAATATTGGTACAAAATTAATCTCAAGCTCACCACAGCCAGGTTCAATACAACCCTGTGAGTAGAAAGTTATCCGGCCTTCCTCGACGGTTGATCTGGAAGTTTCACTCTTACATTTGGTCCCAGCACAGGTTTTGGCAGTATACTATCGCCAATTTGACATATCCATTGAAAACTTCCAAATGATCAATAAGTGAGCTACTAAAGGGGAGAGATTTAATTAGTCATTGCGCGCAACCACTGTCTCTTTACTGACGTACCCTTGAGCTGGCTTTATGGACACTCTGATAATAATTGTCAATTAGATTTACTACACTGACTCACAAATCAATTTTAATCTCGGTTTGAAAAGCCTAAACGATATATAATTTGGTGCAGTTATTATGTATTGGACAAGTTTGATGTCCAGTGCACTTGAAAACATGACTTTGGCAAACATGGAGCCAATACAACTGCGGGACTTGGTCAATATTGGTCGACGATAATTTCGAAGTTAATCTTCCATTATTAGTGAAAGACACACATGCTATGTGTTGACACAATCAGTTTCTTCTCAGTTTATGGATATTATTAGCGAACGAAGTACTTATGGCAAAAAAAGGCAATAATTTCCTCATTCTCGAAATATCACGTGGACGTGGGCGTGCGGTAGAGGCACCAGAAGCGACCGGTACGTGGATTCGTGCATTTCCGGCGACACAGACCGGGATATGGTTTTTACACGATGATGATAATTCCCAAAGAAGAGAGTGACATGTATCATGCTGTTTATTGCAGGGATATCAAATTTCTCTTTTGTAATAGAAAAGGAGAATATTTTTGGTACTATTATTCGTTGCAAGCAGTAAAGTTCGTTGAGAATACCAAATGAGCATGATTCTGTTTTTAACAGAAGCAAACATCTACATAATTCAAAAGCACGGTATAAAGACATACACTGAATTCATCAATTCATCAGATAACAGTGATCGGTGGACAACCCTTGACGGTCACATAAGTAATGCATATTTCAACATTTAAGATTATTTCAATTTTCTGGGAATCCATTCCACTGGTAATTCAGCTTTAAAAGTACCGCTCGTACCCAATGAACGAACTTGAACGCGATACAAAAGTCAATACAAACGGATATAAATCAATCTATTCTATTGTCAACCCTGACCCAGTGTTTTGAAAAGCTAATTAATTGCTAGGTGTGGAACTCGTCCCGCTCGTTATCACTCATAATGATACAGTTGATTTTCTTGGCTAACAGAGAGGAATCAATGTCATGAAGGCGAATTCCATGAACCACGAGCCGCTTTTCTATTGTGACACGAATGCAAATTTCATAAAAACAAGTGAGATGTACTGGCTGTGGAAAAACCTGTCATGCATGTTGCCTTGTGATGTTTGCTTAGCGTTTGGTCGTTTATTACCAAGTTCCGGTTTAAAGATATCACGTGTTTCTGTGGGCGTCCTCAGTAACCTTGGGGGAAACTGGGAAAACAATATAGGTACGTAGGTTTAACATAGAAACAACAATGTGTCAGAACAATAGAAAAACACAATGAAATTAATGTAGGTCTTTAATATGCCACTCATGAAGACAAGGATTTCTAATTGGAATATTGAAACAACTAACGGTTTACATCACTAATATTTGCAGAGTTTTTGCTAAAAGGAACCTGGGTATTTTACTTAGAAATGCTTTGGGCCTTGTCAGATATGGGAAATACTAAGTTCTATATGGTTTGATCAACACACTCAAGGGTTCTGGCAGGGTTAGACAAAAACTCCCACTATATTCAAGTACATGTTATGGATACTAAATGAATCTTCAGCATTCACTGACCAAATTCCTCTGCATATGTACACAAATGTCCTTTTACCGATGACGTCATAGTTGTGATTTTAGGGTGAAATTGCCAAATCGGTTTTCTCAAATTTCTCCTTAACCAGTGCACCCAAGAACACCGTTCCAACGCCGATTTAATGGCTAAGTACTTCAAAACCCTGACAGCGATTTTTCTTAAAATCCCTAGATTGAATTTTAGCGTTAATAAGGCAAAATGATGTTTTTTATGTAGCCAAATGTTCACAAGCACAACGAAGCTCTGTTTTTGCTCCAAATTAAGTAAGATAAGTCCAAATGACTGAAAATTGTCATTTATTAATGACGAAAACTAATAAGATACAAAGTTACAAAACTGGGGAGATAATCAAACATCCCCCAAACTATATAAGTACCATAATATAAAAATAATAAAGTATGTTAATGAGTGTAACCAGGATTAATCAAGAAAAATGNAAAAGGAACCTGGGTATTTTACTTAGAAATGCTTTGGGCCTTGTCAGATATGGGAAATACTAAGTTCTATATGGTTTGATCAACACACTCAAGGGTTCTGGCAGGGTTAGACAAAAACTCCCACTATATTCAAGTACATGTTATGGATACTAAATGAATCTTCAGCATTCACTGACCAAATTCCTCTGCATATGTACACAAATGTCCTTTTACCGATGACGTCATAGTTGTGATTTTAGGGTGAAATTGCCAAATCGGTTTTCTCAAATTTCTCCTTAACCAGTGCACCCAAGAACACCGTTCCAACGCCGATTTAATGGCTAAGTACTTCAAAACCCTGACAGCGATTTTTCTTAAAATCCCTAGATTGAATTTTAGCGTTAATAAGGCAAAATGATGTTTTTTATGTAGCCAAATGTTCACAAGCACAACGAAGCTCTGTTTTTGCTCCAAATTAAGTAAGATAAGTCCAAATGACTGAAAATTGTCATTTATTAATGACGAAAACTAATAAGATACAAAGTTACAAAACTGGGGAGATAATCAAACATCCCCCAAACTATATAAGTACCATAATATAAAAATAATAAAGTATGTTAATGAGTGTAACCAGGATTAATCAAGAAAAATGTGAGAAATCACAACAGCTATAGGAGCAAAAAGTTGGCGCAAATGATTTTGCAATGATGCATTGTAATAAGGGGCTCATAACTCCAGGCAAAAAAAAAAAAAAAAAACATGGCACTGGATGGAAGCCCATACACTTGCCTTCACCTGTGCCAATTTTTGTGATAATATCTCGTACAGGAAATGAGTTACGCCCCATGCCGATTGCTATCTCACCTCAAAATAATGTTAAAACGCTCCGAGGTGCATATGCATATGCTCTCCGGTAAATAAACACAGCTAGAGGTTAAGATGATTACTCATGGATGACATAAGTACAAGTGATGAAATATTCCTGACATTGTAAACAACTGAGGAAAAATATCTATCAATAAATCTACAGTAACTGAGAAAATTACCGTGACCACATGTTCTTTTGAGAGTTTCATCATTTTTCTTTGACTGAGAAATTTTATTTCATTAAATTTGACTAAATATTGCGAATGGCGTCGAAGCAAGTTGTCTGTGCATCATCAAACCTACAAAGAGAAGTGTTATCATATTAATCAGCTAATTCGACAAGCAAAGGAAACCTATAATTCTGACATGATTCGTGAATGTAATGGTGACAGCAAGGCAATTTTTAACACTGTTAATACCATCCTAGGCAAGAATATGTGTGCCACACTACCTGCAGCAAGATCTCTGAAGGACTTGGAGAATAGCATGAGTAACTTTTTAACATCTAAAGTTAGTGACATCTATGCCAAACTCAATGATCTGGAAAAAACTGTCACATTCTCATCACATCTCTCCACATCAAGGTTTCTCACAGAACCAAAATCACCATTGCTAGTTTTCCCAAGGCAACTTCTGATGAAGTGACAAAAATCATCAATAACTCAAAAAAGACAACATGTATCTTAGACCCAATACCAACACCATTGCTAATTCAGATCATGCCAGCTGTAATTGACCTAATCACCCACATTGTAAACACTTGTTTCATTAATGGAAATTTCCCGGATGTGCTGAAATCTGGAATTGTTCGACCTGTACTAAAAAACCCAACCTTGATCCCGACCTTATGCTGAACTATAGACCTATATCAAATCTTTCATTCCTTTCTAAGGTGATTGAAAGAGTACTTGCTGTGAGATTGTTCGACCACCTAAACAATAACAACCTTGTTGAGGAAATGCAATCTGCCTATAAGTCAAAACACAGCACAGAGTCAGCTCTCCTGAGGATAAAAAAAGACCTACACATGGGCATTGACAACAACCCCAAATCTGCTATGCTACTTATATTACTAGACCTTTCAGCCGCCTTCAATACCGTTGATCACAATACATTATTAACTTTTCTTGAGGATAGTGTTGGTGTCAGGGATAAAGGCATTGCGTTTCTTCGATCATACCTCATTGGGAGGTCACGGCTAATTTCAGTAAATGGCATTCTTTCCGATCTTTCACAACTTGTTTTTGGGGTGCCTCAAGGCAGTGTCCTTGGGCCACTTTTGTTTTGCATTTATACCCTGCCACTCAGTGCCTTCGTACGTCATCACAAACTTGGATACCACATGTACGCTGATGATACTCAGATCTATACTTGCTGTGACTTACAAAATCCTAAACCATCTATGGATAAAATTACCAACTGTGTGGCTGATATTCGCGCCTGGCTCATCAACAACAAACTGAAAATAAACGACGGAAAGACTGAGTTTTTATTAATCACGCAGCCAAATAACAAGTAACTTGCTCAAAATCTACAACTTGAATTACCAGTAGGCACCAGTGTTGTGAACCCATTACCACACGTGAAAAACCTGGGTGTCTACTTTGACTCCACTCTCTCCATGGACAGACAAATATCAAATATCACTCAATCGTGTATTTTTAACATTAGAAACATCGGTGCTATTAGAAACTACCTGGATCAATCTTCTGCGGCAACATTTATTCATGCTATGATCACCTCTCGTTTAGACTATTGCAACTCTTTACCTTATGGCTGTACCGACGAACGAATAAAAAAAAATTGCAGCGAATTCAGAATATTTCAGCACGACTTTTTATTTTTTACTTTTAAAGGCAGTAAACGCTTTTTTAAACAGCTTTTATCAAAGTGCAGTGACGCATTTTAATTTGATCTCAAAACTAAATTCTTAATTTATTTATTTATTGTATTATTTTATCATTTTACTCTGTTTATTGCTCCAAAAGGAAAATGATTTCCGATTTTTATAATTGGCTA